ATACACACATATATATATATTTATTTATTTATTTTTGTAGAGCCATTTAAAACTATGTGCTATCAAATCAATAAAATCAGTTCTTTTTTCTATAAATTATATTTTTGTGGATTATCAGCTGCAGAACCTAAGAATATTTTTATATAAAACCTGTGACCATAAGAAAAAAAAATGTCTTTGTTTATCAGATTAAACTTTTCACCGCTAATACAAATTGCTAACAACAAAATGTCAGGCTTTCAAAAAACTGAAAGGTTTTCCTCTGATGTCACTTTTGATGTATTTTCTAATTCTGTGCAAATAGCAAATGCTGTGCATACAGTACACTGTGACACTCCATGTCTAAATAAGGCCATAAACAAGATGAAAATTAATTTCACAGAATGCCTAAAAGACTAAATGGTGTCTGTTGAACAGATGAAAACAGTGATGTGTCTTGTGTTTGTGTGCTCATGTTTGGTTGGATGACAATTTTACCTGTGCCTTTGCTGCGGTCCACAAAGCAGTACTTCAGCTCATACCCTTTCAGAATTTCATGGACTTCCTACACAAAAAAGAAAAGACACTTGAGTCAAAAGTTTTTTATGAGACCAAAATGACTGAATAGTTCAACAGTCTTTCAATACAGACTATAAAGTGCACTTAAATCAAATGTGTTATTTTTTTAACCAGCTTCATGCCATAAACAAACTGAATTCATTAGATTTTTTTTTTCTTTAACAAAATCATCATTTGTTGTCCAAATATCAAGTCATTGTCATCTTCTTTCAGCTGTTCACTTTTCAGGGGTCACCACAGCGAGTCATCCTCCTCCGTCTCGCTCTGTCCTGACTCCAACTACCTCCATGTCCTCTCTAACTGCATCCATACATCTCTTCTTTGTCTTTTTCCTGGTAGCTGCATCACTAACACCCTTCTACCAATATACCCACTGTCCCTCCTCTGGACACGTCCAAACCATCAGTAGTTTACAAGAGAGTAGTGAGACCAGTTACTGTATGTTGTACATACTGGAGAGAGTTACAATTAAACAGAAGAAAGAACTAGAAGTTGCAAAGCTGAGGATGTTGAAGTTCCCCATGAGAATGACGAGGATGGAAGATGAGACAACTTGGAAAATAAAGAGGCCAGTCTGAAGTTAAACTTTTCAAGAGAACAAAATCAAGTAACGTATTTTTCGGACTATAAGGCTCATTTAAAATCCTTTAATTTTCTCAAAAATTGACAGTGAGCCTTATAATCTGGTGCACCTTATGTATTAATTCTGGTTGTGCTTACTGACCTCTAACCTATTTTATGTGGTACACGGCGCTAAAAAACAAAACAAAACAAAAAAAAAACCACATGAAGTGTTCCTGTGGTAGTTTAGTTTCGCTTAATGCGCCTTATAATCCGGTGTGCCTTATAGTCCGAAAAATACAGACTATGCACTATGTTTAATTAACATCTCTCTTAAGTCTAATTTAATCACTATCGTGCTCGTTTTATTGCTTGTTTGAGCTTTAAGCTATAATTGTATTATTTTTCTGTTTAGCTACTTTTTTTAGCTACAGTGTGGCAATTTGTTTTACTTTTAGTTCAAAGACAAAGTTTCTTTTTGTCATTCGCATCACATGTGGTACATGTGGTGGAATGAAACTGTGTGCACATGGTCCCAGTTGCATCCAACAAAAGTATAAATTATAAGAAAAACAGTAATAAGATCTAAGATATGAACTAAGAAATACATTAAACTAAGAATACGCTAAATACGAATAGTACAAAATATGCCGAACAACAGTAGCACGAACATGAGTGTGTGAGCAGATGAGTATGAACGGACACAGAAGAATTAAATAAATTAGCAGCATAAGATCAGCCACATGGATAGTCAGCAGCACATAATCATGTTACAGTTTAGTTACAGTGTAGCTATTTTAAGTGACTGCTTTTACAAATTTTAGCCTTGTTTTGCTTTTTTAAACTAATTTAATAAAATAAAATTGAGCAGTCATTCAGCACTCACTGCATTCAAAAACAGTTTCTCTAGTTATACTTTCTGCCATAGTAATCTAAAATGCTTTGCATCCATTGGCTACAATCTCTTTAACAGTACTCCAGACATGCACTCACTTCTACACAACAGTTGTGTCAACACAAAAGTTCTGTAGAAAACAAAAACAGATTAAACCTTGATAACTGGATTAATGAAGCTCACAGATTTAGCTCATTATGATGAAAAATGTGTCGCCACTTGAGCACCCCCCCCCACGTAATTAATTTCAGTGAACGGAAGACGCATCAAATTGCAGTAATTTCTTCTTAAGTAGCTGTTAAAATAGTTTAAAGATGAAAACCTTCCTGTTATGAGCCCAACACACTTTGCACAGCACTCCAAACCACATGGGAGGCACACACTGATGCATCAAAGCAGAAATCAGATTCTTCTCTCCAGATGAAATGTATTCTTTGTCTCTTTAGTGACAAAATATGATGAGGTGAGAGGAAAAAAGGGAAGCAAGGAAGATGCAATAGCATAGCAAGAAAGCCTTACACTGTGTGGGTTAATATTGTCACTGCTCACTGAGGACTGTTTTAACCGCGGCGCCTTCCTAATTGGTTTCAGTGTAGCTGCAAAGAGTTGTCCCTAAACACAAGAAAATTGAAGCTCAGGGTGTTTAGAGCTAAGCAACAAGTGTCTTTATATGTTTCTGATAAGTGAGCACCACTGTTGTACAAATCAACAGTGTTTTACATACAGCAGGCTCCAAGGGGGCTTAAATACAAAAGTTGGGATCCTTTAGTTCGTTACTTAGGAAGTTACAGGGTTGTTTTAGGAAAAGTGGTCATTAATGTCTGATTCTACACTTGACTCACTGAAGAATACTCATGGCATTATGCTTCTTATAATATCCTGCTGAAGTTATATGTAACTTCATGGCTCACTGGTCACAATCACTCAGAATTCAGTCAGACTAAAACAGAAATTTGATCATTTTTTCTCAAAATTATGAGATGCAAGCTCGTTTTCCACACTCTTAAGCAAAGTCAGGTATGACCGTTAGCAAAACATCTCAGATTTTACAGAAATACTCAGAAACTAATTATTGGATGTACGTACATCTAAAAGTGGTTTACTTTTGAAACCGATTAGCTTTAGCCAAACAGAGCTGAGCAAACACACACACAAGGCTTTAATTCAGTAAGTTGTTCAGATACTGAGCCAAAATGTGGTGTGTTAGTACATAGTCATCCTCTTAGATTGGTAGAAGGATGTTAGAAATGCAACTGCCAGGAAAAAGACAGAGGAAGGCCAAAGAGGAGGTTGTGGATGCAGTTAGAGGATATGGTTGGAGTGAGGACAGAGTGAGATGGAGGAGGATGACTTGATGTGGAGACCCCTGAAGAGGGAAAAGCTGAAAGAAGACCATAGTCACCCTCATCATACACGCCCTGAGTGCTAAGATATTTGTTTGAATCTCTTTTTATGCAAGGCAGCTGGCAATACATATCCCTTCAAGGGATATAGTTTGCTTTCAGATTGTTGTCAGTTTGAAGAATCGGAGAGAAATGTATGGGGGAGTCAAGCTGACGGCTACTCAGAGCTGATTCAAGAGTCAATTTCCATCGTCTCAACTAGCTCATAAATCAAACTTAGCAAGCAATTCAAGTAAATGCTCTACTGGGTATTTTTACACCTCTCCATTTATTGCATGAAACAGTTTACATTTTGTTTTCTTAACAGAATAACAGAAAACACAAACGATCATTCAATGGACGGATGCACAACATTTAGGGATTCTATAAAAATTCACAGATTACAAACAAAAAACCCACATGGAAATATTCTCTTACTTTAAACATATTGTAATAAACCAAGTTTGTTTAAACTTATACAAACAGCACATGTGTTTATTCAATAGCTAGTTCAATGCATAAAGTTTATGAAGAAGGCTGAACAATAACAGTGGCAACAAAAATGAATGTGTTTTTGGAGGACACCAATGTTCCATCCTCGGCTAATGTTGCCCATTTCCAGTGCTTTTATTTACTGTCAGCTAATAAAGGCCACCTTTTCTGCTTCCTTTCAGAGACAAAAACAAAAGGTGTGAACTTAGTTTTATGATAATGTTACATTTCATAGTCATCCAATCCTAGTGTGTGAATGAAAACAGGCTTGGTACACCTGAAAGGTCACCAGATACTTCACAGAGAACATGTCCGATGCAATTTCATATTTTTATCTAAATAAATAAAGAATAAAAAGATACCTGAAGCTATTATAAAACAACTAGGGTGATTAGGACCGTTTTTTTCCTGCCCCTCCAACCAGCAGCCAGCCCACTCATGTACATGTGCACATAAGAGGCATGCTACATACCCGTGAAGGCCACATAAAACAGCCCACACAGGGGGTCAGCTCACTACACCCAGCTCAGAGCCAACAGAAGGACATACAGAGAAAAGTATCTAATATGCATAGATAGAAGATTTTGAGAAAGGGCAGAATTAATCTGCAGGCAAAAGCAAAAAATAAATAAATAAAAACTAAAATCTAAATCTAAATGACAGCAGCATAATAAACATTTTTAAAATAATTAACATGTTTAGCAAATGTGCACCATTTCTGTAAAATAGTCTTTATTGTGGAAGTATGAGATTAGTTCTCTACATGGCTAATAAGAAGACAGTAAAATACAGCAACAAAATAAAGAATTGCATCAAAAAAGAAGTGAAAATGTCAATGTCTGAAGCATTTTTGTGTCTCTAAAGACGGAGAACCTGCAGAGCACTCAGGACATCAAGACAAAGTTAAATTACACCACTCAATCCTTTTCTCAGCATGGACTGTTTCACCACACGTCTCTGCTTTTCTGGATTTAATGGCAAAATTTTGCCTTTGACGGTTTAAGCAGTGATGATGTAAAACAACATCATGCTGCTCTTTTTCCCCCCTTTGTTTCCCACCATCGTCTCTTTGCATTTTATTTTTTAACTAAATTTTTACATATTTTTTCACATATCTACTTCAGCATTTCAATAACTTTCTGACCCAAAAAAGAGAATAGCTAAACTTACTTATGGTTGGGGATGAAATGTTTGTTTAAATGTTTTTTCTCTACTTTAATTTGGAGCAAAACTTCAGTGTTTTTGACAGGTTTGACTGGCTTCAAGTGTTAGATTTATGCAGGAGCAGGACTGCAAAATACAACATTTTATTGAGATTGCTATATCGCTGTGTAATGTCAAAATAGCAAAGGATTTTAAAAACACTGTAGAAAACTGCCTGCAAAAAATCCAGATATGGCCATCTGATGGAACACCGCCCCACTCTTCAAAAATGCCCTCAACTGGTAAATGGAGAGCACTGTGAACATTACAATGATAAAATGTGAGTCGTATCCGTCACCCCAAAACACTGCAATATCACCACAGTTACGTTTTCCTAATATACTTTCCTGAGCAAGAGCATCAAAATAAAAGCGCAAGTAGTGAAACTTTTTTTTCATATGAATTTTGTTGCACGTTATGCAGGTTTTACACAGAATGGCGCCAAAACAAAGT